AGGGCTGGGGTGAGCCCCTCCACGGCGCCTGGGCGGTTGTGTGTGTTTTCTGCACTTGTATTTGGGTCCGGGCCTGTGTGCGCCTCTGGTGTCTGTCCCTCCCGCCTTGCCCCATGCCAAGCTGTGCCTTGGTTGTGCCCCCAGCCCTCCTGGGGGTTGCTTCCTATGCACGCACCCTCCATGCTCAGCACCCCAGCTGGGCTTCACGAGGACCCCACACTGCATCTGGCAGGAGACAGTGCCCCTGCCACCCTGGCGCCCACTCCCCATTGCTGACCGGCCATCTGAGCACCCTTGCCTCTGGGCTTCCTCGTGGGGACCTCTCCTCCTCAGCATCCCCTTGACCCTGGAGGGTGGGCATCTGCCGTCCTCCCCCTCCCACCCTCTTCTGGCGGTTTCCAGGCCACTCTTTGGTTCCCTGCACCCCCAACCCCAGTCTCCTGGACTCTTCCTGAATGAGCCCGTGAGCTCCCAGCTGCCCTGGCAGGTTCCGGGTACGTGTGACCCGCTGCATGCCAACTATGCCTTTTCTCAGAACATTCCTGCTGCCTGGGCGCTCTTCTAACCCACTCTGGAGAGTGCGCACCCACTGCAGGCGTCACCTTCTCCTGGGGTCCTCCCTGACGGCACGACACCTCCACGCCCCCTTTAGCAGCTGCTGTCTCCCCAGGGGCGTGGGTGGGTGGCCTGTGAACATGCCCACACCCCACACAGGACTGGGAGCACTTTGAGGGGGTGGGGCCTGGGCCTGATTCCTTCCCAAATGAGCAGTGCCAGCCTACGTACGGTCCTGTCATTCAGGTTCTGCAGAGGGTCAGTAAGTGGGTTCTTTGTAGCCTTGAGCCTCACAGTCTGAAGCTGTGGGCAGGGAGCTCCGTGGCCAGATGAAAAGCCAGAGGAGCTCATCCAATTCCAACAGGAGAGCACGGCAGGGTCCAGACCCACACTTACGCTGGAATGGTGGACAGAAGCACAGATGGAGCTCTGGAGACGTCATGCTTCTGTCTTTGAATATGTTGTTTGTATGTCGCCATGTTTTACATAACACTTATCCTATGCTGGGGCCTTACTATGGTGTGGTTTGGCAGCAGGGAGGCCCGAGTCCTATCCAGGCTCTATGTAGCTTGTCATTTGGGGCAGGGGACCTGAGCTGGGCGCCTCAGTTTCCATACTACTAAAGCAGATACTCTACCTCCAAGGGTTCGAGGCTGATCTGATAGAGTGCATGGAGCACAGTAGGTGCCCAATAAATGTTCCTTCCTTTTCTTACACACACCAGGAACAAGTTCGAGGAAGGGGTGTGGAAACGTCTTCTGGTTTTGCAACATCCTCACATCCCAGCCCACTGAAGAAGCAGAGGCTCAGAGAAACTGGCCTGGACTTGTCCAAGTTCACGAGCAGCAGTGCCAGAAAGGGCCCGTGTCCCCCACCTCCCAGCACAGGGACCTTTCTACCTCACTCCGGGGCATAGGACAGACTGGCCAAGTCCCTCCTGCTGAGTCTTTGTAAAATGAGTGACTTGGGGTGAGTGACCTTGGAAGGCCCCTTCCTGCGCCTGAGATGGCGTCAGTGACATTTTTTCCACCCCACCCTGTGGCCAGGACTGCTGAGTTGCTAACCAACCGCCTCCAAATCCCGTGACGTGCACTCAAATGGGGGACAGATGGTGAGAATGGGAAGATGGCCAGGGACTGACCCCTGGTGCGGACCCTGCGGCCAGTCGCCCAGCACCCCCAGCCCACCTGCGGGCCCGGGCCCCAGCCCACCTACCTGTACAACTGGGCCTCGCTGCCCAGCTGGAATCGCTCGTACTGGGCGTAGGCCTCTTGGTCTTCCCAGTCCTCCAGCTCCACGCGCAGAGAGTAGGTGGCCCTGCTGGTGAGCTGGTGGATGGCCTCATTGCCCAGCCAGTATTCCCCCGCTGGGTTTCCGAAACCCTACGGGGAGGAAGGGACACACCCCTGGCTGAGGAGCTGGGCTAGGCCAGGCTCTGGAGCCCCTATCCAAGACCACTGTGTCAGGGGGTCAAATTCACTGACCCCTTGTGAACTCGGCCTAGGAGTGGGCAGCCCCCATATGCCCAAGGAAGAAGACTCAGTCACTTGTCAATGTAAAAGCTCATTAAAAATAATTGAGAGCTGGGCACAGTGGCACAGGCCTGTCATCCAAGCAGCTCAGGAGGCTGAGGCAGGAGGGTCATGAGTTCAAAGCCGCCTCAGCAACTTAGTGAGGCCTTAAGCAACTTGGCAAGACCCTGAGTCTAATAGCATACAAAAAGGGCTGAGGATGTGGCTCAGTGGTTGAGTGCTCCTGGGTTCAATCCTAGGACCACCCACCCCCCCCAAAAAATTGAGATCACATTTCTTTGAAGTTCAAGAGCAGACAAAAATAATTGGTGACAACAGAATAGTGATTGCCTTTGGGGAAATATTGACTGGAAGGGGGCACAAGGGGGTTTCTGGGTGCTGGCAGGGTTGTCTGTCTAGCTCTGAATGGGGGTCAGATGGTTGAATACATGTGTGAAAGTTAATCGAGGTGTACACTTAATTACTTATTAAACCTGTGCACTTGGCTGCATGGATATCAGACCTCGGTTAAAAAAAAATTAAAACTTCATCTGCTACCTAGATGGCAGAACAAACTCTGTTCACTGACAGAGCCACTCTGCAAGGCAGAAATGTGAAGCTAAGAGCGCAAGGAGTGTCCTGTCCCGCGTGACAACAACCAACGCATTGGCAGAAAGATAATTCAGCACCAAGGACAGGGGCACACCTAAGCCCCGCCCCCCGCTTGAATCAAGCGGTGCCGCAAAGGGTTAGTACCCAGCACTCCTGTGCGTGTTTCTGCATCTTTGGCATTAAAAAAAATTTTTTTTTTTGGTTTGGTTGCAGATGGACACAACACCTTTTTTGTTTATCTACTTTTATGTGGTGCTGAGGATCGAACCCAGTGCCTCACACATGCTAGGCGAGTGCTCTAGCTCTGAGCCACAGCCCTGGGCCTGCATTTTTAGCATTTTATAAAGATGTTTTTAAAAATATCAATAGATACAAGAACATTCATGAATTTATATCCAATGTATTTATTTTAAGTATTTATCCAATGAACTGCAAGCAAATAATATTCTACTTTTGAAAACTTTTAAGGGTTTTTAAGTCAGCTTGCCCCAAATCCTTTACTCAAAATTCAATTTAAAAAAACAAAACAAAAAAAACCGGAAAGACTAGCAGACACCACTCCTCATCTTGTACACTGCATGTGGCCTTCGAGCCAGCAGTTCACATTAAAGAACTGGTCTTTAAGATGTGGCCATCGATGTGTAAAAAGACAAGGACATTTGATTAAGCAATATACCAGGTGGGTGGGGAGATTTTCTTTTGTCTCCTCCATTTTACATGGGAACAATTTTTTAAGCCATGCACCTATATTACCTTTCCTAAAAGTTGAAACAAAATAAAGTTAAATTTTCGATCTTAGGACGTATATCAGAAATTTCAAAAAGCTGGTTCAATTCCAGGGAATGGGGTCCAGAAAGTGAATATGCACTGGGAAATCTGTTTGGCTCTAGAAGAGCGGATTTTCTTTTTCCTGGGAAGGGGCGAAGGTACACCAGTCCCCGGCCACAATCCTGAGCCTGCATCAGCCCCACGGGCTGCAAAGCCCCTCCCCAAGGTGGCAGTGTCACCTCTTTGTACTCCTTCCAGCTCCGCTGGAAATCCTCGCTGCCATCCACACGGCGCTGGATGATGGTCCACCCACCTCCGTTGGACTCCATGCCACAGAACACCTGGGGGACAGGGGAGCAGCTGGAATCCCACGGGGGCAGCCGGAGGCCCCTCCAAGTCCAGAGCAAACCAGGCGGTCAAGGGCACCTGCCAGATCCAGGCTGCCATGCCCGTGGGCTGTCATCATTTTCTACAGTGACTGACAGGTAGGGGAGGCCTCAGAAGCCCTCTCTCCTTGTTGTGAAAGGCGGGCGTTGACACCTTCACTGTGTGGTCTCCTGCCTCCTGGGCACACTGGTGTGATGGCGAGAATGAGAGGGGTCAAGTCTGCAATGTGCTGGGGACACAAGGACTTACTGGGCCTGCGTCATTGTGGTGGGGCTGCTTCGAGGACTAAGGCCGCAGTGTGAAGTCCCTGGTGTGGACTCAGAGATGCAAGTCCTACCGTCACGCAGTGGGCAGAGGTTTTCCGAGCACCTTCTGGTGCGAGGCACTGGGGATGCCGATACAGATAAGATCAAAAGAATCCTCCCTCTGAGCTGGCCGCCTATCCCAGCTAGGCCTTCCCGGCTGACCTCGGTGGACAGATTACTTTTCCAGCCAGTTCTGTGCCGGTTCCATGTTCAACGAATACGTGTCTGGACTGGATAAGTCGTCAGTGAATCAGAGGTCAATCAGCCATCAGGGCTGGCTCAGTGTGGAGGAGGGTACAGTAGCCCAGACAGACTACTGACTGTGAACATCCTGGCAACTACGAATTAAAGGTAGGTCCTCCTTCTTGGAGGAGGTCCCAAGAAGTGACTCCAGAAGGAGTCACTCAGCAATCTTGGAAGGCTCCCTGGAGGTGGTGTCAGAACACAGCATTGAATGATGATGAGACTCCCAGAGAGTGACAGGTGGATGGTGTTTCCAGGGAAAAATGAAACAGGAGTAGAGACTGCAAGATGGGAACAGCCCAAGAGAAGTTGTCGCACCTGTTCTGGGGGTAGCAGTGGGTACAGGAAGGGACTCGGAGGGTCAGAGAGGGGAAGCAATTGCTTCTGGCAAGTGAGTCAAGAGTAAAGCTGAATCTGGGTGTGGAGGCCCACGCCTGTAATCCCAGTGGCTCAGGAGGCTGAGGCAGGAGGATCTGGAGTTCAAAGCTAGCCTCAGCACTTTAGTGAGGCCCTAAGTAAATTGTTGAGATCCTGTCTCTAAATAAAATCAAAATAGGGCTGGGGATGTGGCTCAGTCATCAAGTGCCCCTCAGTTCAATCCCCAGTACCCCGTCCCCCCAAAAAAGGAAAGCTGAGGTGTGAGCCTGGTGTCTCATCTCCCAGACAAGCTCCTCCCTGTTACCGTCCCCGGTCTCCGTCATCCAGCCTTCTGCAATGCCACACTGGGGAATTTACTTACTTTCACACAGTATATTTACTTTTAAAAATGGAATCCTTTTTTTAAACATTTAAATAGATGCTTAGGTTAAAAATATTTTAAAAGGAAATCTTACCAGTACCATAAATAGAAAACTAGTAACCCTTGCCTCTATTCAGATGATTTAAAAAACAAATCTAATAAGCCGGACACGGTGGTCCATGCCTGTAATTCCAGTGACTTGGAGGCTGAGGCAGGAGGACTGCAAGTTCAAAGCCAGCCTCAGCAGCTCAGTGAGCCCTAAGCAAGTCCGTGAGACCCTGTGTCGCTGGGGATGTGGCTCAGTGGTCACGAGCCTCCGGGTCAGTCCCTGGTACTAGTCCATACATCTCCTGAAAGAAATAATGCCATGGGATTCTAGCTGGAGTCTGCCCACACAGGGCCCTGGGCTTGGTCTCTTTGGTGAGCAGGTGTGTGAGAAGGTGCTGAAGACGGTTTGCAGACGATCTGAGCCACTGTCCCTCTCACACTCTGGGGGCTGAGAGGATCACGGAGCAGGACATGGCCACCTGCTCCCATGCCCTCCTCCTTCTGGGCTGCCCCAGCCCTCCCTCCTGACCCGCTGTTCTCCTCCCACCCCTTCCCACCTGGCGACTGGGCTGAGAGCTCAGGGCACCTGGGGAGCCCCTCATCGAAACGAGCCCCAGGTGCCCATTTCCCAGGGGGCGGAGCCCAGCTCCCGCCTCCAGTGGGCCCCTGTGAGCGGCAGGTGCTAAGCCCCTCCCCTGGCGTTTCCGGTCCCACCGGCGGCGCCTCCCTTCCCAGCACAACCACTTCCTGCCGGAGGTGCTCTGGGAGCTTTCCCTTCACCTCCCGATGGACCCCTGACTGGGGGCCCCCACAGGTCGGGCACCCCCACCTCCGCTGGCATCTTGGATGGCTGAAAAGCCCGAAGCTGCTGGGGCCTGCCTGGGGAGCCCCACGGGGCGCCCTCTGCTCCCAGCCCCGGGAGGCACCCACCTTCTTGGGCTCCGAGTCGTTGGCCACGCGGATGGTGTAGACGCCGTCGGCGGTGGCTCCGGAGCGGCGGATCTCGGCGCAGTCCTGGAACATCTGCTCAGGGGCCCTCATGGGGGCTACCGGGGACAAAGCAAAAGTCAGCCGGAGCTGAGCAAGGACAGGCGGGGACACCCTGCCCGCTCTGTGCAGGCTCTGCGGGGAGGAGGGCGGGAGGCCATGGGGAGCTGGGACAGTGACAGGGAAGAGTCCAGGCAGAGAAGGGAGGTGTTCCAGGAAGAGGGAACCGCGGGGGCAGAGGCCCCCAGGTGGGAACAGTCCTGGTGTGTGCTGGGGACACACGGGATGAGGACAGGGGGCCTGGGGCCAAGGCCAGGGAAGGACAGTGACTCACACCCCAAGATCAGAGCTGGGCTGTGTGAGGAGGGGGAGGCTGGACCTGGAGGGGGAGGAGCGGAGAGGGCAGAAAGGAGAGTGGGGCCAGCCGGCCTAGAGGCCAGCCTGAGCAGCCCGACCCTTGGGCTGAGGAGGAGCCCTGGGGTCAGAGTGGAGCAGGGCTGGAGGCTGAGCCTCTGAGAGGGGAGACTCCAGGGGAGGCTGCTCTGCTTTTGGGGAGAGGGAAATGGGCACCTGCACCCTAGGGAGGTACTTCCCAGTTTGCTTCCCTTCAGAGCAGGGTGAGGTCCAGGGTGAGGTGACTGGCCCAAGGACATGGGGGAGGGGGGACGGGACAGAGCCCTCCCTTCTTGGAGCTCCACTGAGCAGGAGGCCTGGCTCCCTCCCCAGCCCTCCCTTTCAGCTGGTCTCTCTGCGGCTCCACATTCAGTCTTCTCTGGAGCTGACCACTGGCCATTAAGGGCCTCCTCCCTCTGGACTCTTTTTCTGGGGTCACAGAGCATTAATTTAATGACTGAAACCACCAGAGTCCTTGGGCCTCCAAGTCTGGCCTGAAAAATAAACTATGAATAAAATACAGAGACTTATGCCTTTAAAAAATTCTTTCTTTTCATGGTATTAGGGGTCGAACCCAGGGCCTCGTGCATGCCGTGCCAGTGCTCCACCACTGGGCCACATCCCCAAACTTTAGACAGGGTCTTACTAAGTCACCAAGGCTGGCCTCCAACCTGGTCGCCATCCCCCTGCCTCAGCACCCCAAGTAGCTGGGATTACAGGCCTGCACCCCCATGCCTGGCTAAGATGCAGAGATTTTAAATCCTCTCTCTGGTTCAGTCAGTAGGACCCAATTAGAGGTTTGGGCTGTGATTCTACCAGAACCGGATCTCTCTGTGGAGGCAGAGAGGCTACCAGGGGCTGTGATTCACACATGAACAAATCTTCCCAACTCCTGGCTCTGGGGCACCTGTCTGAAGGACGCTGTGGTTCCCGTATCACAATCGAGGTGACTAGGTCTCCAGATCCACCCCAGCCGGTGCATGACATTTCCTGGGCAGGGGTCTCCACTGCCCACCTGTGAGCAGCCTCCACCTCTGAGCCCCGAGGAGGTGGGCAATTTACACCCAGCCCAGGTCTTTCCCTCCTCCGTCCCTGTCCCTCTAACCTGCCAAACCAGATCCCCAGATCCTGAGACACCAGGAAACCACTCTCCTTCCCCAGCCTCTGCCCCCTGGACAAAGCTGCAGAGTGGTGCCCCCTTCCTGCTGGGCTTCAGGGTGCCTGGCTCCTGTGCCCGCCTCCACCTACCCCTGTGCTCTCCCTGGTGACCCTTCCTCTTTATCAGTTTTTCCGTCTGGGCAGACAGCAAGAGCAGCTCCCAAGTGTCCTTTGCTGGTGACAGGGAAGCAAGAGGACAGGGTATTTGACAAAGGGTGCCCAGCACACCCTCCCCCTAGGCCGGACACTGGGCGAGCAGTGAGCCTCAGGGAGAGGTCCAGCCCGGCCCTGCGCCTTGGGCTGAGTGACAAGCAATGCACACATGGGACTCCCCGAGGCAGCCTGGCTGGCAGCTGGGCCCAGGCCGGAGAGAGTGCTGGTCACTCCACATCTTATGGCCTGGGAGGGTCCACTCTTCCTGCCCGTGGCTTTCTTAGAACTGCTGACCTAGGAAGGAGCCACCCGGGATCCTCTGTCCCCAAACCCCCGTCAGCTGTGGCACCTGCAATCCAGTCCTCCTGGCTTGACTCCTGCCTCATAGCTGTCGGGGCTCCTGCTGCGGCCTGCTGTGGGGGAGCCCCTTCTTTGTCTTTCTCTCATTTCCCCCTCTCTGGTTCCAGTCTGGGTTTTCTAAAAGGAGCCCTGCCCTGTCCAAACTCCCCCTGTGCTCCAGGCTGGCCTGCGGTGAAAGCTCCTTCTCCTTGGCACCGCCCCTTGGGCCTTCTGGGGTGGGCAAGGTCAGGAACTCTGCCAGCTCCCTGGTTCCCAGCAGCCACCACGAAGATGCGCTTCCTTCTCCTTCTCTCAGACACACAGAGGGGGCCAGGACTTTTTGCAAGAGACAGAGGCCATGACTGGGCTGTGCCCTGCGGAATCCCCAGCACTGGGCCTGGCACACAGTAGGTGCTCAACAAACAGTTGGTTGCCTGCCTGCTGGAAGCCAGAGACAGGAAGGTCTTGGCCACCCCAAGTGCTGAGGAGCAGCCTCAGGCATTGCTGTCACTTCTCAAGGAGGACAGGGATGCCTCCTCCTCTTGGTGTGGCCTTGTTGGCCAGAGGCAGGGGTGTTAGTGGGAAAAAAATCTTTGGGGTGCTTTACATCCGACCTCCCCATTCCGTTCTATAGGGAGACCAAGGCCCAGGGCAGGGCAGGCCCAGGCAAGAGGGGTGGAGGGTGAATCCTGGAACCCAAACTTGCAGTCTGGACTATGACGCCCTGGTTATGATCATCACTCCACAAACAGATGGGGAAACTGAGGCCGAGAGTGGGGGCGGGGCCTAACCAGGGTCACGGTGAAGTCGGACAGAGTTTCCACTGCTTCTTTTAGGATTGCTGTTGCTGTAGTTCTTTCTATTTTATAGTCGGGGTGGGTGGGCCGTACCCCTGATGTGTGCCAGCCTCCTCCCGCGCGCTCCCCCCCACCCTGCGCGCTCCCCGCTCACTCACCGCGCGCTCACCTGCCGCGCTCCCGCCGGGGCCCTGCGCCATCACGTGCACTAGGCGCTGCACCGACTCCAGCAGTTGGCGCTGCTGCATCTGCAGAAGGCTCGAGTTGCTGCTGGCGAGGCGCAGGCTGCGCTCCAGGACAGCCAGGGCGCCGCTGTGGTTGCCCAGCAGGCGCCGCAGCTGCTCCTTCTCCTCGCGGAGGCTGGCCAGGTCCTCCTGCTGCTGCGTCTCCAGGGCCTGCAACCGCGTCTCCAGCGCGCTGCGGAGCGGGGCGCACGGGGTGAGCCCGCCGCCCGCAGAGCACGCACAGAAGGCTTGCGGGGAGGCTCAGAGAAGGAGCGTCCGGTTCTGAGTTACACCGCCCCGCAGTCCGTGCCCACGTAGCCCAGACCGAGGAAGGGAGGAAGGAGAGACCCGGCCCCGGAGTAGTATGGTTTGGGATCCAGAAAAGGAAGGAGGTGGTGGTGCAGGGGGACACAGCAGCAACCAGAGAGTCATTATTAAATCCCAAATATGCTCGTCCTCTGACTCCACAGTCCAGTCTCAGGAGATAGCCTCCAGGGAGCATGGGCCAGGATGCCTTGGGAGATTGCTAGTAAAAGAGAAAAGAGGTGGCTTAGGGCCTCGCTAAGTTGAGGAGACTGGCTGGCTTTGAAATCGCGATCCTCCTGCCTCAGCCTCCTGAGTCTGGGGGATTACGGGTGTGTGTATCACTGCGCCCAGCCAATGCCTCTAGTTCTAACCACGTGTTGGATGACATAAGAAAGATCAAAGGTATTCATGGAAATGTAGAGAGATGGGGTGAACATATGGGGGAAGAGTGGGAAGACCCTGGGGGACACCCGAGTTTGGAGAGAATGGGAAAGAACGTCCCCACCCTGCTGATTTCTGCAGGGTGGGCAGGGCTGACTTTCAGTTTTATTTTTATTATTATTCTTTGAGTGGTGCTGGGGATCAAACCCCTGACCTCTTGCATGCTAGGAAAGGACTGCACCCACGGCTCAGCCACAACCCCAGCCCTTCACTTTTATGTTATACAGGTCTCAGTTATTACAACAAGGCACAAAGTTATGGGTTAAAAAACAAAGAGGCTTTTTTTTTTTTTTTAAAGAAAGCTTTCAACTTTCAGCTCTTCCCCTTTTGGCATTTCATCCTCCAGATTTACTCCCATCTGAGTAAAATGAGATATGGAAGTGTTAGTCACCCTATCACCGGTTGGATCAGCAGACTGGAAACAGAAACAACCTCAGTGTCCATTAATTGGGGAGGTGGGGGGAATAGATACTTTGGAATAATGGGAAGTTGGAGAAAAGAACCAGCAAGCATGTCGTGTAGTTGTAGAGCCATTTCCAAGGAACTGGGGAAAAAATAGGGTGGGAGGTGGGGTGTGCTCTAGTGGGGCTTAAAAACGCGGGTGGGGTGGGGGAAGGCTTGTGCACATTTGCATATTCATAAGATGCCCTGGAATAGCCACTCCACCAGGACAGAGGGTCCTACATTTATGAATCCCCAGGGTCCTACATGCCTGCACAAGGAGGGCTGAAAAAGTAATTGTTGATACTCCCTGCGGCTCTGGAGGCTGAGGCAGGAGGATCCTGAGTTCAAAGCCAGCCTCAGCAAAAGCAAGACGCTAAGCAACTCAGTGAGACCCTGACTCTAAATAAGATACAAAATAGGACTGGGGATGTGGCTCAGTAGTCAAGTGCCCCTGAGTTCAATCCTTGGTACAAAAAAAATAAAAATAAAAAATAAAACAAAACAAAACAACAACAACAAAAAACACTTGTTGACCAAATGCAAGGGAGGACTTATAAGACACGAGGGATAGGCGGGTGGTCACTGGCTTTAGTGGGTTTGTGGCTGAGGGAGGGGACATTTGACTCTATATCCAGTTGTCCTGATCCATTCTCCAGACAGAAATAAGTTCAGCCAGGGCAGAAGGAATTTCCTCAGACCCCAAATTATGCTGTAGGAAGTGAGAATGTGGGTGCTGAAGCTCTAGGATTCTTGCTGTCTTTGTGGATCAAGGCTCATCGATAACATTCTCTGTCTGCACTGATTCTCAGGCACCTGATAAGGAGTCCAGAGTAACTGAAAATGTCCCGGTTCTCGCCACCTAGACCTTGGGGTGGGGGAATAGCAATAAGAACCACCATTAACTGTACCCAGATCAGAGGGGGTGGATGATCTTGTGATGTGATGTGTCCCGGCCAGCACTCGGCAACATCTGGCCCTGCAGAGCGGTCAGTGCCTTGCTCAGTAAGTAGATTCTCCCTCCCAGAACTCTGACCTTGGCAGTTTTTCCTCCACTGAACTCGAAACCAAGATAAAATCAGGCCTCAGAAGTCAGATCTCTCTGCTTTATCTATAACCTGTGTCTATTTTTACCTTGGT